TTGCCTCAGAAAATTTGGCTTTTTTTTTTTCACACCAAAAGATACTGAAAGTACAGACCTTGAGAACAGAATGAATCAGCAGAGGAATCACATAAAGCAGAGAAAAGCTTTTACAGTGAAGGCTATTTTGGAAATTTGGTTCATTCCCTTTGTGAGGATAATTCATCATTTTTCTTCCATTTTTTTTTCTAATGTGCACAGCATTTTGGTAAACAGCATTTTGGTAAATTGCTGGTGTCCTCCAATGTGATAACAAAATGATTTTTCTGAAGTATAACTCACCAAACACTTTTATTATTCAAGAGGCAGGTGCATTATGAAGACCTAGAAGTTATTGACCAGTAACTCTTGCTAGCATTAGTTGGTAGTCCTAATTAGTTGGTATTAGTTGGCTCTTGGGTAACGTCCACCCAAGGAGGCTGTGTTGTGCACCTGCATGGGTCCCAGCTTTCACTTCCCTTTTAATGCCTGTAAAGACTCCAGGGCCAAGGAAGTTAGAGCTCAGAGCTTGAGACACAGGCAGACTGAAGACCTTCCTGTCTCCTTGGGGTGAGCTAGATTCCTGACAGTGCTCCTAGCTTAGCAGTACCCATGCAAGTCCGAGGTGCTGTTAGCCCCTCCTAGGAGGCTCCCATCTGGGTGCTCTCCAAGATCAAGAAGCTAAGAAGCATGGCTACATTGGGAAGGCAGGGCAGCCATTGTTTCTGCTACCTTCTTCTTGAATAGGTTTGGCTCTAGTTGATGTGGTGCCTGTATATAAATGAGAAACAAACCTTCCCTGCATTATAACCTGGTCCTACATTGGGCACATACTTGCCCATCTGTAGGGAAGTGTGTGCCCAGCACAGGACCCAGCACATGATGGGCGGCTGTTGTGATGCAATGCCCAGAGCCACCTTATGGAAGGGAGTGTCCCTTTCTTCAGATGCTGGCGATGATGCTAGGAGAGAGTGCCCAGCTTCCGGCCTCCTTGGATACTGCCTCAGCTGAGGGAGGTTATGTCCTTCTTGCTGTGACCTGTATTCAAGGGCTGATAAAATGTCCCAACTTGGGGAAATGCTGAAGGCTCATCCCAGCTTCAGGACTCCCCACAGGTGGGCTGGGGCTTCTACGGACACTGCAGAGCAGCCCAGTTTCTTTCTCAGTCCAATCCTTCCTGTGAGTTGTGATTGCAGGAGCACTGGCTAAGAAACCGTTTATGTGCTAATCTTTATCTCAGAACCGGCTCCCTGGGAACTCAGCCTGCAACAGTGAATGGGCCTCACAGGGTTCCCCCTACTTTCAGCTTGGAGACTACATCTCAAAAAATCTGGCCCTTATCTCTTTCTAAACTGTAGCTTGAGAAATATAACTTTGTTCTTAGGGACAAACAGCGGTCTCCTTCATGTGGCTGATATGTGGTCTGACCATCAGATTTGCCAGCCATGTTAGGATGGCTTAGGAAGTACAACAGAGAAAAAAAATTATTTCAACTTATATAATTTTTGAAATATTTATTTGCGGAATAACAAATTGATTTCATTACATTGGTAGACATCTAAAATAATTCAACAAAAGTGATTAAAAGATGGTCTAAAACATCAAAATGACTTATACATTAAAGCAACATTTAATCATCATATTATTAATTTGGATATTAAAATAAAATAAGCAGAATGGTCATTTTGGCTACATGTCTATAAACATGTCACTGGTATTTTTCCATAGAATAAATATATATATATATATATATGCACACATATATATACATATATGTGTGTGTGTGTGTGTGTATATATATGTGTGCATATATATATGTGTACATTTATATATGTGTGTACATATATGTATGTGTACATTTATATATGTGTGTACATATATATGTGTACATATATATGTATATATATTTATTATATGGAAAAATATCAGTGACATGTTTATAGACATGCAGCCAAAATGACCATTCTGCTTATTACATTTTAATATTCAAATTAATAATATGTATATATATGTGTGCATACATATTTATATACACGTATATATATATACACACATATATATATACACACACGTGTATATATATATGTATTTTTTTGAGATGGAGTTTTGCTCTTGTTGCCCACACTGAAGTGCAGTGGTGCGATCTTGGCTCACTGCAACCTCAGGCTCCTGGGTTCAAGCAATTCTCCTGCCTCAGCCTCCCAAGTAGGTGGGATGACAGGTATGCACAGACATGCCTGGCTAATTTTGTATTTTTACAGAGACAAGGTTTCACCATGTTGGTCAAGCTGGTCTCCAACTCCCGTCCTCAGGCCATCCACTCACCTTGGCCTCACAAAGTGCTGGGATTACAGGTGTGAGTCACTGTGCCCAGCCCACATAGTATATTTGTAATAAAGTCTTCTTTTTTAAAATAATATTTTCCAAAATGTGCTGTAATATTCTACAAAGGTTAATTTCATGACTAACAAATTTGACGTTACTGATGTCTTTAGTTTACTCTTCCGTACAATTATAGCGTTTTTAATTGAGAGAATGTTCTTAGCAGGTGCTGATTCCTACATTTATAAAGAAGGAATACTTCAACTCCAGTTTTTATGTTGAAATACATGTTTTAGGCCAAATCTCTTCACGCTTTCTGACCTTTAACCTCCGTTCAGTGTATCCATCTTTGATAAGTATTTTTGTAAGATAAAATTTATTAAATAAATTATCTGTTTATGAGCTGGATCTCTCATACTTTGCTGGTGGGAATGCAACATACAGTAAGGTCACTTTGAAAAAGTGATTGGCTGTTTCTTAGAAGGTTAAGTATATTTTCACCATCAACTTAACAACCTCATTGTGAGGCACATATCTGAAAGGAATAAAGGGGAACAACCAGGAATGATTGTAAGGTAATATTCACAGCAGCCTCATTCATGATAGCCAAAACTGGAAGGCCTCCAGTGTCCATCAACAGGAGACTGGATGAAACAGCATGCTAAGCAAACAAAGCCAGACATCAAAGAATACATACTTAGGATTTATTATTTCATTTATATGAAGTTCAATATCAGGCAAAGCTAATTTATGGTGATAGAAATCAGAACAGCGGCTGTCTCTGGAGGTGGAAACAGGACTAACTAGAAAGCGGCAAAGGAAACTTTTTAAGGAGAGGGAAATTTTGATTTTGAAAATCATGGTCTCCTCAATTTACCCTATTCTGGTGCCAAATATATACTTACGTAATTAAAATTCCACTAAAATCCTTCACAAAAGCTGAGACATAAAACTTCAAAATTATATTCTAAGCTCCATATAATCTCTCATCTTTTAATTTGTTTAGTTGCTTAATAGCTCTTGAGGGGCAAATTTCATTATCTTTCTATTTGCTAGCTTTGTTTTAGATAATTAAAATTTGCCAAAAACTTCCAAAGCTGAGGTTTTCTTGTCCTCCTTACTGAATAATTCGATTTAGAGTTTTTCAATATTATTCAGAGGACTTCAAAGCATTCAATCTTTTCTCAGGATACTCACTGACTTACAAATATAGTGATCACAGGCGTCTTTGTTTTGAAAAATTGTTATTGACATACGCTGTACTTAAAGTTCATATTTTTTATCTAAGCAGCTTAATCTTAATTAACTTTTAAGGGTAACATACTCAGATAAGCACAACTTAGGTAAAGATTTAGTGTTATTTTTGAGTCTTTTCCCAGCATATACCCCTTGCGGGCAAAACTCCTGTGATGGTGTACCCTATTTCACCTCAATCGCCGCATGGTGGGCAGAATACTGTCCCCAAGGATGTTCGTGTCCTAATCTCTGGAACCTGTGAATATGTTATGTGGAAAGAGGAGTTAGGGTAGCAGAAGAAATTGCTAATCAGCTGACTTTAAAAGGGAGATTATCCAGGATCATCTTGGGAACCTAGTGTAATCACAAATGTCTTTAAAGATGGAAGACTTAGGGAAAGTCAGAGTTGTGGTAATGCCCCACGAAAAAGACTTGACTGGTTGTGACTGGCTTTGAAGATAAGAATGCTGGTAGCCAGGAAGTACAGGCAGTGTCTGAAAGCTAGGAAAATAAGAAAACATTTTCTCTTCTAAAGCCTCCAGAAAGGAAGCAAGTCCTGACATCGCCTTGATTTCTAGCCAGGAATGCCCATTTTGGACTTCTAATCTCTGAAACTGTAAGAGAATAAATTTGTTTTAAGCCATTAAATTGTGAAAATTTATTACACTGAAAATAGAAAACCAGTAAATCTCATTTCATATATTGATCTATTTTTGCTTTCTTGTTGAGATATGACTTAAATTGTACAAGTCATAAGCATAAATTTGATGAGATTTGGCAAAGATACAGACACCTGTGTAACCAGCAGCCCACTTGGACAGAGTCTTCCCTCTTCTCAGAAAGTTCCCTGTGTTACACTCTCGTTAGTCCTGCCTCTACTTCCAGAGACAGCTGCTGTTCTGATGTCTATCAGCATAAATTAATTTTCCCTGATATTGAACTTCATATCAATGAAATAATAAATCATAAGTATATATTCTTTCATGTCTGGGTTCATTTCCTTAGCATAATGTTTAATCTAATCTCCTGTTGGTGGACATTGGAGGGGTTCCAGTTCTGGGCTACAGTCAATAAAGCTGCTATGAATATTATTTTACAAACATTTCTGGTTGTATCCTTTCATTTATTTTCATTTATTTGTTTGTTTGTTTGTTTGTTTTGAAACAGAGTCTCGCCCAGGCTGGCGTGCAATGGTGCTATCTTGGCTCATTACAACCTCCGCCTCCTGCGCTCAAGTGATTCTCCCGCCTCTGCCTCCCAGGTAGCTGGGATTACAGGCATCTGCCACCACACCCAGCTAATTTTTGTATTTTTAGTAGAGATGGAGTTTCACCATGTTGGCCAGGCTGGTCTCAAACTACTGACCTCAAGTGATCCACCCACCTTGGCCTCCCAAAGTACTGGGATTATCGGTGTGAGCTACCGGGCTGGCCACAAAGTATGTCTTTTTAAACAAGCCAGATCGGGGGAGAACACGAATGCAGTCCCCCACTACCACAAATTACGCAGTCAAGTTTCTCACTGGGGAAGTCTCGGGGGCCTGCACATCTGGAGTGCAATGGATAAGGCTCGCCCTGGGAAAAGCACCTTCATGATCATGGTATCTCCCCTGCCAGGTAGGTAGGTATGTCTCCCATATGGGCCTCAGGTTGCTAAGTGGATGGTGAAAGTATACATAACCTTATGAGAAACGACCAATGACTTTTTCAAAGTGACTGTCCTATATTTTGCATTCTCACCAGAAAAGTATGAGAAATCCAGTTGTTCCAAATTCTTGGGGACAGTTGATGTTGCTAGTCATGTTAATGGCAGCCATTGCAGTGGGTGTAAGGTGATTTTTCACTGTGATTCTAACATGCATCTCCCTGCTAACCTATGACTGTTGAGCTCCCTCCTATGGTTTATTGGTCAGCATGTACTTTCTCTTATGAGTTGTCCTTCAAATATTTTGCCTCTTTTTAAGATTAAATATATTTTACTATTCATTTGTTGGATTTTCATCCCTGAATACATGTTCTTTGTCAGATATACATATTGTAAATATTTCCCTCTGCCTGTGTCGCTTGCCTTCTCGTTTTCTTAGCTATGTCTTCTGAAGATCCTAAGATTATAGTTTTGCTGAAGTTCAATTTATCATTTCACTTTTTTTTTTCCGGGTAGTGCTTTAGTGTCCTAAGAGTTATGTTGAAGATGAAAATGCATATTTTGCTCTAGAAGTTTTATGGTTTCAGCTTCCATTCAAGTCTACAAGCTGTCTTGAGTTAACTTTTTTATACAGCATAATATAGAGGTTGAGGTTTATTTTCATATCTAAGAATACATAATTGTCCCAGCACTGTTTGTTATACCAATACCCTTTTGCGTGTAACATCATTTTCAGCCAAAAAACTGTGGTTCGGTTATTCTGTGCCTGGCCATATGTTAAAAATTTGTACATAAAATAATAGAGTTTCCATTTTGACTAGTAGAATACCTCAGCTGGTTTGAATGTAACCAAGAATTACAAAGTACCATGACAAATTCCAAGTAAGATTCTGATTCACAGATTTTTAATTCAGCAAGCATATTAGTTTTGCCATGATATTTTGTTCCACCAAAATTTGTGTTCACATCATTACACAAAACAAATAATTCTATGCTCAATGTGGAATTTAACAGTAGTGAAATTAACAAAACTATTTCTCCACCTTCGTTAAAATAAGCTTCCAAAAGCTTTACTTTGGCTCCATTAATTACACAAAGTATTCAACCGTTATAATAATCTGGTTTTCTATTTGAAGCAACTGGTGGCGTTGATTTGCATCATCTGTTTGCAAAAGCAAATATTTTCTGTTATGTAGCCTTTTATTAATTGATATTTCTTCATTTTTTATGCATGCACAAGAAACCTTGAAATTGAAAATAAGCAACTATAATTTAGAAAATAGTCATTTCATTCAAAGTCAAGCTATTCAGAATGGAAAGCAGCTTTACCTTCTGCAGCTACTTGTGTTATATTTTCACCTTCAGCCATCATCTCATTAAAAATCGCTGATATTTCCACAGAAGGTTTGTGTCTTTTGACTTGAGTGAGCTCTGTGATATCACAATGTCCTATGTGTGCTTGGTGGATGGATGGTAAAGGTTGATTGATATCTTGTGCATGTTACACACTTATGACCACCATTCTTGAAAAATAGAAATAACTTTTCATTAAACATGTACTTTCATTTATTACTCATTGCTGCTGAATGTGTTTAACAAAAAGATGTCAAATAAATAAAAATTTTAATTTTTACAAAATAATATATTTGGGAGCTGCAGTAGCAAAAGCATTCAGATGCTCTGAGTCATACTATCCTGCATGTATTTCCTCCATTTCAAGTCTGTGCTTTCCCACGTTTGCCACTAACCTTGCTGATTGTAGCCTGATGATACACTGTATTTTGCAGACTTCAGCAAGTATTGTGGCAAAATTTGCTGGTAAATCAATAGACGACAGGGGCAGCTGAATTAAAAACGTTCCCACTATTACTTGTGAGAAATGGACTTAGCTACTTCTAGCTGCTGTTGTCTAAGCATTTCTTTTATCAGCAAATGCCCTGTATGCTGTCATTTAAGCAAGGTCATGCGAACTCATGTGCTATTAGACAAGATCATGCCCTTAGCTGGAACTATGAAAAAGAGCACTACTGAACTCACTTTGCTTTTTTTTTTTGGTGCAATTGGCAATAAAGATACTTTGCTAAGAATGGAGAAAATCTGAGACAAACACTAAATCAAATGGGAACGCAGAGCAGAGTCAGGACCTTCCCTTTCCGGCTGGGACAAACGGTCACCCCACCCACAGGACTTGGCAGGCTCTGCTCCCCCTCCCGCACCCACCTTTCAGCCCCATTCTAGAAACACTTGTCAGCAGTGTACTGAGACCTTCAGTGAGCATTTGATTTAGGCCTATCTTTGTTCCTAGGCTTAGGCATCACAGGCAATGGTTGTGCTGGATTTGACTCACCATTGGGTCCCTGTTACCCAGCAGACTGCCTGCCATATTGAAGGTGCTAAGAGCATAATTTGCTGAATTAATCAGAGGGTGGGTGAGTAGGATGGGGTCCAGAGGGAGAAGACTGGCTCTCTGGGCCCTCAGGGAGCACCTCCTTTAGAGGACTGCATGCAATACACTTTGAGTGTAGAGGCAAGATAAGCTTGCAGATGTATTCTGATGATCAAGAAATGTATTTCCTGTATGATATCTTTTATAACCCATCTCTTTCATGACTTCATTTCCACTTATTATTTTGTGATCACAGTACTTGAGTAGTGCTGAGTATCAGGTTCTAGGGAAAGCTTGTTCCGAGGATAATCTAAATCTGCAGTCTACCTCCCTCCTATAGCTCAACACACACACACACACACACACACACACACACACACACACACACACTCCAATTGGTAGCATGATAACATTCCAGAAATATAATGATCAATGAATTTGTATATAATTAACTCTTTTAAATTTGCATATGTAGAAATAAATATATATGTAGAGAAATATATATTTGTTTAGGTAAAGGGCTACAGGAGCAAATTAACTATGAATTCTCAGACAGTGTAACAATAGTTTATTTCTACCAAAGTTACATATCCAATACATGATGGCAGGATGTTCTACTCCACATAGTAACTCAGGGAACAATGCTTACAAAAGTAACAGCATCTTATCATTCTCATTTGCTGCACCTTGAGGGTCCTATGCCTGTTCTCAAATGTTTTGTTCAACATAGTCACATTTCATTTTGCTTCAACTCATTAGCCAAGCTAGAGAAAGGAAGGGCAGCACATAGGCTGTGTCATCTGTACTCCCTACCTTTTGACTTCCAGCTGGAGTTGACCAAAAAAGCACTGTCAAAATCACAAATCTGAGTATTAACTTATTCAACATTTTCTCTAGCAAGCCATGGTTTGACCAAGTCATTTTGGAATCCTTTTGTTATAGCTACAACTCTCCTTAGGATGTCCTCTGACCTCTATAGCCTTAGAGGACGTCATAGCTTTTTTGAGAGTTACATAGCTTTGTCAGGTAACTTTCTGCTTACAAAATGTTGGACCTCAAGTTTTATATGCTTGTTTAGGCCAGTGTTATGGTTTGGATGTTTGTTTCCTCTTAATCTCATGTTGAAATGTGATTCCCAGTGTTCAGGTGGAACCTGGTGGGAGGTGATTGGATCATGGAGACGGATCTCTCACGAAAGGTACAGCGCCATGTTCTTGGTGATAAGTGAGTTCTCACTTAGTTCACAAGAGATCTGATTGTTTAAGAGAATCTGGGATCTTCTCATTCTCTTTGGCACCCTCTCTCACTATGTGATATACTGACTGCTCCTCTTCATCTTCTAGCATAATTGTAAGCTCCTCAAGAGCTGCCCTCACCAGAAGCAGATGATGCCACCACACTTCCTGAACAGCTTGAAAAACTGTGAGTGAAAATAAACACTATTCCTTTCTAGACTGTCAAAGAAAACTGCATCAGACAGAGTGTAACAGAAAAAAAAATAACTTCATTCAAAACAATTGCAATGGGGTCAAGACTATTGCCGTAGAGGAGAGAGGTTGAATTCAAGTTTGAATGCAGCAAGGACAGCTGGGGGTTTATAGCCAAGTATCAGAGTGAGGGACTCAGTGGATAGAAATTACTAAGAGGAACTGATGAGATACCAGTGTAGGGTAAGAGGATATTGATTAGATATGAACAGTGGGGGCATTTTGCTAACCTGGCCTATCAAAATTCTTGCTAAATCTTGACTCAGGAGACCCAGGACAAGGGGGCTAAGAGGAGTTTGACTAAAGTTTGGTCAAGGAGGAGATTCTTGGTAAGACAGAGTTTTCAGGTGTGTTATATTTCTTTATCATCCTCAGAAATCTCTCTTTCCTTAGTGCTGGCTGCTTTGAGGTTTTATAAGATTTCCATCACTTCAAGTCTTTTAACATCCCATGTGTTATTTGGGGTCTAGAAATAATCAGGTTGTCCAGCACAAAGGGCTTCACGTTCTGGGCTCTCTGTGCTCGCTTATCTGTGCTTGCAGGCTGGCCAGTGCTTTCTGCTCATCTGTCTGTCTTGCAATACCTTCCTGAATCCCAGAAATAACCAGGACACACTACTGCTTTGTCATTTTACAATATGGATCTGCATTGGTTTAGCTTCTGAAATCAGTCCGCTTGCCACACTCTATCATTGAATCGATGCCATATGTTTTGGGTTTTATTTCAGCAGGAGTTCACCCCCTTTGCACAGTATTTATGTTATTATAGTCACGGAATCCTCTGCTGTGGAACAGATAAATCCTTGAGTTGCACTGGTTTAATTCCGTGGGACTTGATGTCTTGCTCACACAGCATTCACTGTGCAAAACAGTGAGATGGTGAGGTGGAGAGAGTGTAGGGGTCAGCTGTTGAATTAGAATCCACTAATTTCTAGGTGCACATGTGGAAAAAACAGCTGCAGCAGGAGAAAAGAGACCTGGAGTTCTGTGCAGTGCTCTCAAATGCATCAACCTGAAGTGAACGCCGTCACTTTTGCTCATGTCTTACCAGCCAGAAATGGTTTCATGGTCAGAGTACCTGGCAGGGGGCTGGGAAATGTGCCAAAGC